AGTTGGAACCTGTGTGGTTCCTGCTGGACCTGAAATTTGAAGGACAGGCTGGGAAAAGAAACCCAACGTGCTCACGGTTGGTCTTAAACAATCGCTGCCAGAATGGATGTAAATTTTATAGACTGAAATGATGTGAACACCGCTGAGACCACCGTGAAACCTCCTTGCAGTTTTATGCCAGGATGTGAGACCTAGGACGACAGAAGCCAGCCACCCTAGTTAATTCTTATCTTTCCAGTGTGACTACCTGGCATGTGTACTTTGATTTATGATTTTTGTTTTCTCTTAAAGGATATTATAATATAACCCAAATTTACCTCAAACTCATGATGCTTCTGCCTCAGCCTTCCGAGTGATGGGAGTACAAGCTTATACCACCATGCTCACTTTTTTTGGGGGGGGGTTGTCGAGACAGGGTTTCTCTGTAGCTTTGGAGCCTGTCCTGGACTAGCTCTGTAGACCAAGCTGGCCTTGAACTCACAGAGATCCACCTACCTCTGCCTCCCGAGTACTGGGATTACAGGCATGTGCCACCACTGCCTGGCCCATGCTCACTTTTATTTACATACTGAAGTACTGCTCTCCAGGCTCCATCCACTCAGGCTTTGGTCTGTTCTTGGACAGACATGAATTATCCACCTTTTGTGGCTTGTTGATTGCAGGGTGTGTCTGCCTACCACTGCACCACTACCATAGACCTACATCACTGGCTTTCACGTTGAATTTATTTTGAGCACATTTGCTTACTTGTGATTTGATGTAAACATTGAAATCAACTTGTCTAGGTCCAAAAACACAAAAGAAATCCCACTTTACTTCATGTTGCCCTAGCTGAGAATATAAACTATATTATCATCTATTAAAACCTACATTTTTTCCAGAAAATTTTAACAGGTTTATTTATAATTGTTATAAAGTTGAACTGTTGAAATGTGTTCACTGAAACATTTTGCTTGCATTAATGCTTTACATCTTGCATTTATATTAAAAATTCACACACAAATGAAAATGGAAAAACTGCCAATGCCTTATTTCTGTCCCCTATTTTTCCACTCGCAATCATATACTTAGGTACCTTTTGACCCCATGGAAAAAATATCTAACATTCAGAACTACTGATAACAGGAAGAAGAGGAAAAAAAATTTTGAGAATGAAATGTTTCCCCTCATAGTGGACTCTTAAGCACGTTCTCCGCGTATGCGGCGTGCTAGCTGGATATCTTTTGGCATAATTGTTACACGTTTGGCATGGATAGCACACAGGTTGGTATCTTCAAAAAGGCCAACCAGATAGGCCTCATTTGCCTCCTGCAAAGCACCAATAGCTGCACTCTGGAAGCGCAGATCTGTTTTGAAGTCCTGAGCAATTTCTCGCACCAGACGCTGGAAGGGGAGCTTGCGAATCGGAAGTTCAGTGGACTTCTGATAAGGTCTGATTTCACCGAGTGCCACAGTACCAGGCCTGTAACGATGAGGTTTCTTCACCCCTCCAGTATAGGGCGCACTCTTGCGAGCGGCTTTAGTAGCCAGTTGTTTCCTGGGCGCTTTACCACCGGTGGATTCGCGGGCAGTCTGCTTTGTACGAGCCATGGTATGGGCACCTCCTTACTTATCCCCTTCTCCTTCAGCCGGAGCTCTGCAAGCGAGAGGCGGTGCTGGAGTTAGGGAGCGGCGGCGGCGCGGCGACCTAAAACCTACTTTTTTTTTTTTTTTTTCGAGACAGGGTTTCTCTGTTTTGCTTTTGGTGCCTGTCCTGGAACTCGCTCTGTAGCCCAGGCTGGCCTTGAACTCACAGAGATTCGCCTGTCTGCCTTCCGAGTGCTGGGATTAAAGGTGCGTGCCACCACTGCCCGGCAGAACCTACTTTTTTTTTTTTTTTGAGACAATACCTGTGTCAAAAAAATTTAAGCCACAGGTGACCTTGAACTCCTGACCCTTCTGTCTCCATCTTCCAAGTACTGAGATCCCAGGTGTATGGCACCACACCTGATTTATATGGTGCTGGGGATCCAGCCCTAAGCTTCATTCATGTTAGGCAAGTATATAGGCATCTACACCCATAGCCTCAAGTCTACTTTTTCTTTGATTCTTTGCTGTTTTAGGGGTGCTGGGGCTTAGCTATACCTCCATACCCACACATGTCAGACAGTGAATTCCTAAGCCATATGTCAGTTACATGTAGAGGTGCCTGGATGCTGAGGAACAGGTCTCATGGTGGATTAATCACTCGCGAACTTCTAGATTTGTGGGTTAAGGGGGGGGTGACTGGTGGGCAGCACTGTCTGGAATGCTGCTGTGCCGTGATAGGGTGTCATCCACCACGGTATGGTAACTAACACCGTGCTCTAGACTGTGAGCCGAAGAAACACATATTCTTTGTGAGACACTCCATCTGTAGCGGCGTTTAAGAGATTCCTCTCTGTTTCCACGTGCTGTGCTGGGACTCCAGGCGTGGAGTCTTGTTCCAGTCTTCCCTGCCAGCCTGCGCTTCCTACCGAGGCACAGCCACTTCTGAAGTGTTTCTCTTCACAAGCGGCTGGTGCCCATGGTAAACTCTCACTTTCCTACAAAGGATGACTCAAACCGTTCCTTCTGTTTCCTGGGATGAGTCCTCTGTGTGGCTGTGGTGACGGACTTGGGAGCAGAGTGGGGATGCTCCAGCCTCCCTGTATTTCAGGCCTTAGGGTGTGTCTAATGCCACTCTGCCAGGTTGAGACTGAGGGATCCAAGCACACATCTTCCTATCCATATAATCCTGCCTGTTTTTAAAACTGGAAATGGCTTTTGAATTTGTCAAAAGCTTTCTCACTGGAAGTCTCCACAGCAGAACAATTGATATGGTGAATTTTAGCTATGTGTATGTGTTTCCTAACATTTTATTTTTTCAAGACAGGGTTTCTCTGTGTAGCCCTGGCTGTCCTAGAACTAGCTCTGTAGACCAGGCTGGCCTTGAACTCACAAAGATCCTCCTGCCTCAGCCTCCTGAGTGCTGGAATTAAAGGCATGTGCTACCACTGCCCGGCCTAACATTTAATCAATCTCACATGATAGATTAGGTCCTATTTGACTGTAGCACACTGTTTTGAAAAGTAAAGTAGGGGTCTATTTGTTAATCTTGCCATAGGGCTTTTATTTATTTTTCATTACATTTATTGTTTACTTGTGTGTGTGTGTGTGTGTGTGTGTGTGTGTGTGCTCCTGTGCTAAATGGCACACGTAGAGGCTAAAGGAGACTTTGTGGGAGTCAGTTGCCTCCACCCTGAAGGTCCCTGGGATTGAACTCAGGTCTTTAGGCTTGGTGGCAAGCACCTTTCCTCACGGAACCATCTCACCTGCCCCTCATTAGGGTTTTTTTTGTCTGTACACTGGGTTATGTTCGTGCATCTTCATCCAAAGCTGCTCCTGGCAGCAAGTGGGATGCTGCTCTTACCTGAGCTCCCAGCAGTCCAAGCAGTGCTGGACCATCTCCGTACTGAAGGTTAGGACATCTCCTAAGGAAATCTGTCCCCAGGGACTTCTACTAAGCGGGGGTTGGTGTCACTTTCTAAAACATCTCCATTTGTTTATGGAATCTGGTCTGTTTTAACCTTCTTTCTCTGCTGGGGCTAGTTTTTTTTTTTTTTTAATAAAAGTACATTTTTATTATTTATTTGCATAGAATTACATGTAATACCTTCTTTGAGTTCTTACACATCCTCTATTTCAGCAGGTATTCTCCATGTCTTTTTTTTTGTGGACTTTGGTTTTCAGGTTCTATCTTAAGTTAATAATTGCTCTCCTCCTACTTTTTGACCTTTTTTTTTTTTTCTCCAAAAAGCAACATTTTGTTGGGAGGTGGTGGGGTATGCCTTTAACCCCAGCACTCAGGAGACAGAAGCAGGCAGATCTTTGTGAGTTCGAGGCCAGCCTGGTCTACAAAGCAAGTTCAAGGACAGCCAGAGCTGTTACACAGAGAAACCCTGTCCCTCGAAACAAACAAATAAAAAGCCACATTTTGAAAGTCAGTGGTCGCTTGGCATCTCTGCAGGGTCGGTAGCAGAACTCTGCCACATGCTCATAAAAGAATGTGCTTTCCGTAGAACCTACAAATACCTTTCCACTTTAGACAGGGTCTTTCTATGTAGGCCAGGCTGGCCTCAAGCTTGTCACCCTCCTGTTTCAGCATCCCGAGTGCCAGACTTATAGGCATGTGCCACTATCGTTCCTCCATGTTTACAAACCATCTCTAGGTGACTTAGGACCCCTGACACAGTGGAGCTGCTATGCCAATCATTGTGAAGCTGCATTGCTTGGGGAGTCTGTCCACGTTCAGCAGAGATGAAATTCGGGGGGATATTTTCTATCTGAGGCTGACAGAATCTGGGGGCCCAGGTCCTGCAGACATCAGACTTGGTACTGTAGGGCTTTCTGCTCATTCATTTCTATACATTGCCTTTTGGCCTCTTCCCTGTTATCTGCTCATTCTCAGCTCATGTTTTCTGCTTTTCCACTTAGGATATTTCCATGTTCCAAAACTCTTTTTTGACAATCTTTAAACGGAATCAACTAAATCCTCTTCCATGGGCTGTGACCACAGGCCTGCCCAGGTCCGTGTCTAGAAAAGCTCAGTTTGTTTTGTACCTTTCTCTCCCCACTCCCCTAAACTCCATTATATTTTATGTGTATGGATGTTTCATCCACATGTATACCTGTGTAACTCATGCGTGCCTTGGGTCTGGTGCCTGTGGAGACCAGAAATGGGCATTGGATCCCTGAAACTGGAGTTACAGATGGTTGTGGAGCTGCCATGTGAATGCTGGGAATTGAACCTGGGTCGTCTACAAGAGCAGCCCCATGCTCTTAACCACTGAGCCATCTCTCCAGCCCCTCTCTTTTCACACGGTGGGAGACTGCCTGATAGTGTCTGAGCGGCCTCCTTTCTATGTGTGGACTCCTACCCATTGCACAGTGAAGGGTCTGTAATGAGGCTGGAGAGGAAGGCGAGGTTAGCAGTTCTGAGGCACTTGTTTCACAAATGTTTAATAAGTTTGACTGGGTAGAGCCCAAGATCTTGGCTCACCCTAGCTGTCCCCCAACTCTCCCTCCTGGCCCATCTCTGACCCTCTCCATTTCTTTTGCTCAGCCTTTTACAGACTTAGAGTCTGGGACAAGTGTCCTGGCTTCAAGGCACAAGGTGGCTAGGGGAGGGTTGGAGAGCTACAGAGGATAGGAACAGGCTGCCCCAGCGGGTGGGTGTCTCTGTCCTCACAACACCAACAGGCTAGCCAGCATGTTCACAAAAATGCTGAGGATGGCTCTTGGGGATGAAGAGAAGGAGGGATGCAGCTGAGGAGGAGTGGGTGTGTTCTCCACATGATAACGGATCCAGTTCAAAAAGTAGGAGACATTGGCATACACCCCTGGGTACAGGGGATGGATGCATCCACGGCCCCAGCTCACTATTCCAATCTGCAGCCAGGTCTGGTTCAGCTTACATACCAGTGGGCCGCCGGAGTCACCCTGTGAAGGAAGAGAGGCTTTCTGTGATCTAATTAGTCCAGGTATGGCCCTCAGGTGCAGAGTGAGTGGCTCGTGACACCCCCCCCCCCACACACACACACACACACACACACACACACACACACATATAGTCCCCTCTCTGGCTGCTACAGAGCCCAGAGCCTCAGCACGGAGGTCTGACACAAGTGTGTGAGTGTGTGTGGTGGTCACACACTGTCTGCCTGGATCCAGCCACCCCAGCAGTCCCCCTACCCACACCAGAGCCCAGCTCGGATCCAGAAGAGACATACCTCACACACATTCTTCACATTCTTGATGTCCCCAGCACAGAACATTTCTGGCAGGAAGTAAGATGTAAATCCATAGAGCAGCTGGCACTGGAGCTTGGGGATCAGTGGCAACTGGATTTCCTGTAGCTGTTTCACACTGTCACCTGTGAGGAGAAGGCAGAGGAACTGCCAGGTGAGGGTGCCTGTCTGAGTCCGGCAAAGCCTTAGCTCCTGGAGGACAGGAGCCAGAGATAGTCTTGGGTTCTTGGTCAATGGAGGACAAATCAGAAAGGACCCCCCACCCCAAGAGGAGTCCTATCCACGTACAAGAGCCACCCAACACCAGGAGAGAGGCCTGGCCCACCCAGGGAAGCCCCATCCACAGAGGGAAGGCCAGTCCACACACTCCTGGGAGTTTCTTTTTCATAACATTCTGCTCCCCTTTCACACATATTTTGTTGCTGCTGTTTCAGTACAGATAATTTCTACTTATCTATCTCTGAGGTCACTGATTCTCCCCCAAGTCTGCCATAAACCCCATCACGGAATTTCCATCTCTGGTAGCTGGTTTTTTTTTTTTTTTTTTTTTTTTTTTTATGTGCAGCGGATTATTTCCTTACAGTCTGCATCTTTTGATTCAAGTCGTTCTCCTCCGCGCCTTCCCCGATGTCAGGGACACCCAGTCTATGCTCGACTTCTAGGAGACCATGCTTAGCTCATACCTTCCTGGGTAGCCAGTCCCCATCCAGTGGTCCAGCAAGACAAATTGCTGAGGTTCAGGTTGGAAGGCGGCAAGCAAATTGGGAGCACGGCATCGGAGAAGACGATGGGGCTCTTCAGCTGCACGAGCGCCACGTCCCCTCCAGCAGGGTGAAACAGCGCATGCGTGGGGTGCATGATCACCTGGTTAAGCTCAAACCACTGCGTGTATCTGGTGGCCATGTCGAGGTTGCTGATGCCCACGTACACATCAAAGGTCTCAATCCTCTTCTCCCTGCCGACCAGGATAGAGGCCACCTGCCTGCAGCCCCCCTGTATCATCAGCCCACCGATGGGCGGCTGCCAGGTTGAAAAGCCCGGGCCTGCCTGCAGCCCAGTGCAGATCAATCTGTCTGACCTCAAAGAGGTCCTGACTTGGGCTGATGGAGACTTGGGGACCATCAGGTGTTTGTGCCTATTAGAGCCAGATAGCCACACACATGGGGCCCTCGCTTGCCTCTTCCTGAAAAACTGATGAGCCCCTATACACCACAGCTGTGGGCCTGGACAGGATGAGGCTCAGGAAACAGGGCCATCTGCCCAGAGAAAGCTCTGTGCTCACTGTGGAGAACTCTGCCTCTGGTGTGGGGGACCTTGTTGGATGAGGGTAAACCTGGGGTGGGGTCAGTAAATGGGGACCCGAGTCCCAGGGATGTAGGGATGTAGCCTAGTCTGTGGAGAAGGGCTATGCTGAAGAGGACAGGCCTAGGTACTGGCCTCATCACTAGCCAGGGTGGATACATCATGCTTGTCCATGGGAAGCAGCTCGGAGCTTGGGGTCAGGGGAATGAGTGTACCAGCCATGGTGGATAGGGCTTGATGCAGCCATCCACGCCCCGGGCACAAGGTCCAGGCTTCTCCTTCCCTGTGTCCCTGCGCTGTCACCCCTAAAGGCTCCAGCACCTCTCACCTGTTAAAGCAGTGTGCTGCTGTCAGCACCCAGTAGGCATTGAGGATGGAGCCACCGCAGACGTGTAGGCCAGAGTAATGCAGGCTGACCTGCCACGGCCATTTCTGAAAGGGGGCTGGCATTCCACCCACGATCTTGCCCTGCAGAACTGGCTGTCCACAGGCTGAGGAGAGGAACAAACGCAGAATGGTCGCCAAGGCCACACCACGGGAGGGGCGGGCCACGGATGGGGGAGGGGATAACGTGTAGGTGAGTGGGGAGGGGCCAGGCCGGGTCTTTGGGCCCAGGTTCCACCCGGGGAGAAAGGACCACCACCCAGACTCTGGGATGGGGACCTACCCACGTCACTGCTCAATGAATTTTCCTGGCTTTTAGCGTGTGGGTGACTGATCGATGCGACCCATGTTGGGGTAGCCAGCAGGAGTAGAAGCAGCAGCGATCCCAAGGGGCCTGGGCCGGAAGTGGGGGCGGCCATGAAGCCGCAGGCGCAGCCCAGCAGGAGAGGGTGGGGCAGCCGACTAGGAAATGTGACATTGCCCCTCCTCCCCGTGAGGCCACAAGCTGGACACGTGACGACTAGGTTCTGGATGCGTTGGTGGCGCCCCCAGCAGGTGACTTTGAGCTAGTGAGAGGTGGATGTAGACAGAGAGCCTGAGCCTGTGGACCCCACGCAGTTCAGGATGCCTGACCTCACCTCAGGCACAGGCAACAGTACCTTGGCCTGCATATTTGATGATGTCCTCAGCGGGTAACCGTCCTCAGCAGATGAAGGGACCTATCAACTGACAGCATGTAGAAGGGACCCGTGAAACCCCCACCCCCAGAGCACACGCACCGTGGTCAGACCTGGATATACAGGTTCTGTGGGAGAATTCTGTTACACACCCCAGTGCTTTTCGCTCTCTCCACGGCAGACTCAGATCTGTCTAATTATTACTCTTTACACATGCACCATCTGCTATCAAAACCTTTTTTTAAGAAATTAAATCTTTGTTTATATATAGTAAAACCGACTCCTTCTTCAAATTTTGACAAGTTCCTACAGTCCTTTCCCTCTCAAGGGAGGATTCCAGCTGGTCATGGTGGTGCATGCCTTTAATCCCAGCACTGGGGAAGCAGGTGAGTTCAAGGCCAGGGCTGCATAATGAGACCCTGTCTTAAAACAAAAGAAAAGAAACAACAAAAAACTATATTTGGGGCTGGCGAGATGGTTCAGTGGTTAAAAGGCTGTATTTGTATTGCCCTTGTAGAGGACCGGGGTTTAATTCCCAGCACCCACACTGGACAGTTCATAACCACCTGTAACTCCAGACAGATCCAGGGATCTGTCTGTCACATATGGCCTGAGAGGGCACCTGTACTCATGTGCACACGACTTCACCCACATAGATACACATAATTAAAAAAATATATTTTCAAGAGAGGATCCTATAAGGCTATGTAATAAAAGCTGAGAAAAATTACAAAACTTTATGAGAGATGTCAAAGTCAGAGGGATGGAGCCATCCTGTGCACTTGGATATGAAGGTTGATGTCATAAGTACAGCTGTTTCTAATCACACTAGATCACAGAAGCTAAACAAGAAGAATAAGGCTGTGGGAATTAAAATATCAGTAAGATATAGCCTAGAACAAAAATTAATAGAAAGTGGGGGAGAAAGAGAATGGAATTGTCTTCATCAATTCAGGCTGTTAAAAACAAAACTCCAGGGCTAGAGATGGTTCCGTGATTAAGATCTAATGCTACAGCTGTGAGGTGGTGGCGCATGCCTTTAATCCCAGTACTTCAGAGGCAGAGACAGGCAGATCTCTGTGAGTTCAAGGCCAGCCTGGTCTACAGAGCAAGTTCCAGGACAGCCAAAGCTAAACAAAGAAACCCTATTTCAAAAAATAAATAAATAAAACAAACAAACCAAAATAAACCAAACAAACAAACAAAGATCTAATGCTGCTCTTCCAGGGGACCTGGGTTCAATTCTCAGAACCCGAGTTGTGACTCACAACCATCTGCAGCTCCAGTTCTGGGGATCCAATGCTGTCTTCTGGCCTCCTCAAGCACCTAACCACGGTTAGTGCACAGACATCCATGTAGGCAAAACATCCATAACCTAAAGAAAAAAACATTAAACTAAAACAAACCCCACACTCCATAGGCGTGATGGCTTATGAAAACAGAAGGTAGTCTTTGCAGTTCTGGGGCTGGGAGTCTGCCATGAGAGGGCCAGCATTGCATCTGCCAGACTCCTCTTGGTTTACAGACTGGCATCTGCTGGCCCTGTCCTCACAAAATGCAAGAACGAGAGAACTGGTGAAGCCCCTTTTGTAAGAACACTACCCTCGTTCATGAGCCCCGCCCACCACAACATCCCCACTTCTGAATGATATCACTCTCTTTGGAGTCAAGATTCCCACCGCTGAAGGGGAAGGAGGCAAGCTTTAAGCTATTGCAAAAATGAATCCCAGACTTAGAGCTTTATAGATACAGAGCTTTGACACATGACTCAAGAGGCATGGACTGTCAGTGGGAATTCTAGTGGACACAGGATCTGCAGAGAGGAAAAAATAAGATCTCACCACACCCTTTATACAGAACTGAACTTAAGTGACCATGGAAAGTCCTTTAAAACTTTAGATTAAAATGCAGACAAGTTTCCAGTGATGGTGAGCAATGTAGCAGAGACCAGCCCTCCTAATAAGGACAAGGAAAAACTCACCACAGAACACAAATGCCATCTCCATAGAAGCAGGAAATATCTAAAGCATGGTGATGACTCTCCAGAGTAAGCTAGGCTAGCAAGGAGATCCTGGCACCCAGGCTATCCCGCCCTTTCAGGAAGGGCCAGGAAGGGACTCTGTCATTTTTGGCATCTTTCTGGGTTAAGGAAACAAATAGGAGTCCAGGACCCATCAAGGGTGTGGATCATACTCAACCACACCTTCTTTTGACTGAAAACAAAGAGGGGTGCACCCGAAGGGTGAGGGGATGGGCAGAGGCAAGTCAGCCTTCTGATGGCCAGCAGCCCAGCTTAGAATCATCTGGGCGGCTCAGGCCCTAAACTCAGGAAGTGTCAAGTTCTAAAGCCCTCAAGCTCAGTGTAAGTGCAGGTGGCTGGGGTATCTGTGTGTCCAGCAAATGTAAACACAATCTTTGTGGGACGGTGAAAACATTACCCTCGCTGTTGCTTATTTCTGCAAATAACATTTAGATACTTCTCCAGCCCAGGAGCAAAGATGCAAGAAACCTGAGAGTAGATATGATGACTGAGAAGCAGCCCAAAACAGATGGAAGAAATTCAGACACCTGAATTGGCAGCCGGAGACGATAAAGCACATGGTTTGTTGTGCTAAAGTCAGGGAGAAGAATCCAAGCTGAGCCTCTAAGTTTCTATTTTCTCAACAACTGGACGGTATACATTTAAGATTTTTTTTTTTAAGAACCACCATGGAACTTCTAGAAATTAAAAACCTGAAACCTCAAATTCAGAGCTGACTGAATGGCATTAGCAAGAGCTTAGACACAGCTAAAGGGAGAATCTATGAAATAGAGAGCAAGTCCAAAGAAGTTACTCACAGTAGGAATAAAAAGGGGGATACTCGGAAAAAAGTGTGAGGGCGCTTTAATGTTCTCTGCATTTTCTCCTCCTCCCCCACTCCCCTTCCTCTTTCTTTCTTCTCCCTCTCCCTCCTTTCCTTTCTCACTTCTTCTTCTCCTGTTCCCCACCCTTTCTCTTCCTTCTCTTCCTCTTTGTTTCAGTAAAGCACAATGTTTTTCTTTTTTCTCGAGTTTCTGATTGTTTGTTTGAGATGGGGGTCTCACACTGTAGTCCTGGCTGGCCACTGAGGCTGGCTTCAATGACCCTCTGCCTCTGCCTTCCACGTGCTGAGATCACAGTCACACACTACCACCCCCAGCTGCTTCTTAACTTTCCTATTTTCATTTTACTTTTTGCTCTTTGTCCTTCTGCTCTTCACTGTGTTTGATTGGTTTACTTATTTGAGTCAAAATTATAAAGATACAGAGTAGAATGGTGATTGCTGGGACACTGGTAGTTGCTGTTGGGTGGGTATATTTTCATTTTACAGATGGAAAGAGGGGTCAGGCAGCCTTGGTGTTTGTGCAAACTTACGAATGTATTATACCATTCAATTATACACTGAAAAGTGGTCATGACGGTAAATTTTATGTGTACATTTTTGTGGTGCTGAGGGTTGAAATTAGAACCTTGTACATGCTAGGCAAGTACTCTACCACTGACCCACACTCCCAGCCTTTGTTTCGTTCGATTAGTGCTTATTAATTATACAAAGTAGTGGGTTTGCATAGTGACGTTGCCAAGCATGCATCTGATGTCTTTTAATCATATTTTCCCCACTATTAGCTCTGTGCTGGTTAATTTCTTGACACAAACTATGGTCATCTGGGAAGAGGGAGCTGCACTTGAGAAATGCCTCCATCAGATTGGCCTACGACAAGTCTATGGGGGCATCTTCTTGACTAATGATGGATGTGAGAGGGCCCAGCCCCCTGGGCGAGTGGTTCTGGGAGGTCTAAGAATGGGAGCATGGAGGGAAAGCCAGTAAGCAGTGATCCTCCATGGCCCCTGCTTCAGTTCCTGCATCTGTATTCCTGCCTCAAGTTTCTGTTCGGACTTTACTTCATGATGGACTGTAAGCTGAAAAGATGAAACAGACCCTTTCCTCTCCAATTTGCTTTTGGTCATGGTGTTTACCGCAGTCCCAGAGAAAGCAAACTAGGACACTGTGGAGGTTTGAATACGAATGGCCCCCACAGGCTCATATATCTGAATGCTTAGTCACCAGGGAGTGGCCCTGTTTGAAAGGATTAGGAGGATCAGGGGGTGTGGCCTTGTTGGAGGATTTACCACTGAGGGTGGGCTTTGAGGTTTTAAAAGCCCATGCCACACCCAGAATCTCTCTCTGTCTAGGGATCAGGATGTAGTTCTTAACTACTGCTCCAGCATCTGCCTGAGTGCCACCACACTCCACACCATGATGATAATGGACCAAAACTGTAAGCAAGCCCCCAATTAAATGCTTTCTCTTATAAGAGTGGCCTTTGCCGGGCGTTGGTGGCGCACGCCTTTAATCCCAGCACTCGGGAGGCAGAGCCAGG